ACAAAGCACATTTACCAACAGATTCAAATATCCTTAGTTTCTCTGCAATAAGTCAAAAGCACAAACCTGTGTTTAGTAACTAATGTGTTAGCACTATATCCTATTTTGAAAAGACCTAAATGTCCAATGAATCCAACTCATTTACCATAAAAGCAAAACTTTAAAGTAGTAGGTTACCAAAACCTTTGAAAGCTATCTTAACAATTACCTATGAAAACCATCATTTTAAGTTATCTTTTGCTGACAAATTGCAACACATAACCCGAGCTTATGTGAACTTTATCAAACCTTGATAGAATAAAAGTTTCATACTTAATGCTGATAACTTTAAAGATGCCTATTTTAAACCCAACGAACTTTAGCTTTAAAAACTGAATATGTTTCACCTAGGCCCACACTTAAAGTCAGTGCGACCCCATGGGCAGCTTTTACCTGTGACACTGGTGGGGAAATCTGAAGTGAGTGGTGTATGCAGGCCAGGAGCATAGAAACAGGAGCAGAGGGAGGGGGGACAGAAGAGGCAAAGTGCAGCTAGAAGGCTGAGCTGAGGAAAAGGATTCCCAGTTCTAAAGCTCATCCATTTGGATAGATGCGCCAACGCCATGATTTTCCGCCAAGTGGAATGAGGTGGTGCATGTGAAGCCAGAGAAGACCGGGAATTTCCCCGAAACAAAGAGAGTTTTGGCATCTGCTTGGGAATATTCCTTAAAGTCCCCGTTCTGAGGTAGACTAACCACAGGTGGCTCCTGTTATCACCATTAACATGGGAAATGTATGAGGGAGAAGCTCCCCATGTACCCCTAAGAGGAGCAGTGAGGGAGTCAGCATCCCCTCTGGAGGGAGGGCCTGTGTTTCCTCCAGCGGCCTGGGTTTATTCGGGGACCTATTTAGATAATTATCCAATATGTCAGGAGGGAGTTTGCTAGCCACATGCCCAGGCAAACACATTCTGCTAGAGGCCCTTAGGTGGGGGTCCTGGTGCCTGCTCGAAGATCTAGCTGATGGGTACCACTGAGGCCATGCAAGTGCAACAGGAGATCAGTCCTTCCTTAAATTTTGCAATCCAAATTGTTTCTAGTGAGTTAAAAGGCAAGGACCCAAGGGAGAGAGTCCTTGGGAACTGAAGAAGAGACCATGCCTTGCTGTGAAGGTCACACCTTATTTTAGCTTGCGTTGAAGAACCCGCCGACTTTAACCTGTGGAAAACATTAGAACACTTTTACAAGGGGAAAATAATCAATTTTGCAGTACCGATCTACAGAAGTTCCTGCGGAGGATGGTTTGTTTCCCATCTTGTGATCCTGGCAGGAGTCTTTTACCCCATACCTGTAGTTTTCAGCATCAGTGGGTCAAATTGTTCCTGATTTTTCGGAGCACAATCCAGAGGCGTCTCTGCTGAGGATGGGTTGTTTCCCATCTTGGAATCCTGGTTGGAATCTCTTACCCTGTATCTGTTACAGAGAGGTGACCACTGAAGGCGTCCCTACAAGTCAGCTCTTACCTAAACCAACGTGGTGTCCCTTGTTTGCTGCCTACCCAAGGTGATAGAGTGGCCTAATGGCTTGGGATAAGGAGGGATCAGGCCAGCAGGAGTGGCCACTTTTACCCACCTGCCACCTAATCCTCCTGCCTTCTCTGGATCTTCTGGGAAAAAACCTGACCTAATCATAGAGCTTAGCGAGGTAAATCATTTAAATGATGATATTCTTTTTATTTTATTTATTTATTCTTTTGAGAGGGGCAGGGATGACTATATATATATGTGTATATATATATATATATATGTGTGTGTGTCTGGCCTCTATACATATATATGTACATATATACATATATATAAAACAGGATCATATGGATTTGAAATATTTTCACTAGAAATTTTAAAATATTTTTATTTTTTAAATTTGTTTTTATTGAAGTTTGATTTGCCAACATATAGTACAGCACCCAGTGCTCATCCCATCAAGTACCCTCCTCAGTGCCCGTCACCCAGTCATCCCATCTCCCCACCCACCTCCCCTCTGCAACCCTTTGTTCATTTCCCAGAGTTAGGAGTCTCTCATGGTTTGTCTTCCTCTCTAATTTTTCCCACTCACTTTCCCTCCTTTCCCTTATAATCCCTTTCACTATTTCTTATATTCCCCATATGAGCGAAACCATATGATGATTGGTTATATTCCTTTTAGAAGGCTGAGGAAGCAAGCAAAACACTGAGAGTCTGTCAGTGGGAGGCGTGTGTTGCTTGTGAATGAGGCTTCCCTCGGGGTGTGACCCCCCCCAGGGCCGCTTCTCCATCCTTTTAACGTGTCTCAGAGAACCCAAGGCCACCAGTGGTAACCGAAGGGCAGGCTCAGTTTGCTGGATTGCCAGTCCTTATGTGTGCCTTTGGGATGAACATCAGGCTAGCAGGGAATCCTATAAGTGACTTTACTCTTCAGACCTCTGTTGCATGAGCCCTCATCCATAGGTCATGTAGATTCCTTTGCATCTCTAGCCCCAGGGTGCCTCATCAGTCAGGCTGATCATTAGCCAATTTCAGTTTTCCTTGTCTCACCTTTGCTACATTTCTGTTCCAATACCTGACATCCCATTGGTAAGCATGGCCCCACAGTAAGCAAAGTCCTTGAGGTGGGGAAAAGCCGATTCAGAAAGCCAGAAAATGAAAAGTGGAACTGATTAGGGTTAGGCCAACATTCCCTTCCTTTGGGGAAGGAGGATTGACCAAACCTTTCTCCAGAAGCCTCTCACCTGAGTCTTAAGACTGCAGCCCTGCTATTCACCTTTAAGCTGACCGACAGGTGTCGTCGGGTTTTGCTGTTTGTTACTAGAAGAGTTTATCCAAGGGGGAGAGACGTCTTCCAGGAAAGAAAGGCTAGAATCCCCATTACTCACCCTTTGATGGGAGTGGTCCCGGGTTTGGGAACCAAAATGACACTGGAGAGCTTGGTTCTTGTCTCATGGAGTCGAAGAATGAATCTCATGGACAACAGAGAGTGAGCAAAGTGATAGAAGTTTATTAAGCAGAGGTACAGAGAAAGGTCTCAGGAGTGAGGGGGGTCCTGACAGGGTGGCCATTGAGGGCTTTTATGGTCTGTCTTTTATAGGAAACTGTTCGGGGAACTTGGTAAATTTCTGTCAATATCAGGGTAGATATTTAGAACAAACGTGGTGGACTGGTAACTCTCACAGTAACATACAAGATGTCCTTCTACATATCATGAGCCCAAACAAAGTGCTCCCTTCTCTCTGAGTTAATATCTCCTCCATAATATTTCCCGTATCTGGGATTTCTGTGATTACTTAGGAGCCACTAAAGGGGGATACTCCCTAACATTTTGGAGCTAGGGAGCCAGTTTTTTTTGTTTTTGTTTTTTTTTTTGTTTTTTTCTGTTTTTATTGTCTTATCTCTGTTTTCCTGGGATGGGTAGGAGCCTGACTCTGGGGCCTTTCCCATATCTTTCCCTGTCTAGCCCTGCCCACCCCTAACTCATTCCTACATCAGTATGACCATGCTTGTGTAAAAAAAAGTAAATGGATATAAAACATGTAAATGTGTGACATGTCTGAAAAAAAATAAAAGGAAGTGTTAACAGTGGTCATTACCCCCATCTGAGTTACATGGAGAACATGTAGAGAAGACAAGAAGGAGGAAAGTTGAATTTTATATTTCTCTTGTTCTGTGCTATTTAAAATTTACTCCATGGATTACTTCCCTTGGGAAACAATAAACATCAAAACCCCTCAGAATACTCACATGGTCAAGATATTTCCTGGATTACTACAAAAGATATTTATCTTTTATTAAAAAAAGAAGAAATAAAAAAAGAAATGCATGTATGTTTAATTTTGCAACGTTCAAATAATAAGAAATTATTCTTAATCTTATCTACTACCTCCAAAAAAGTGAATATTGAAGCTAAAAATCGCAATTCAAATGTCTGACATGGCTGGGTGTGTAAGACAAATAATACAGACTTAGCCCAGTTATAAATACAAATTATCTGCTAAAATATTCATCAACCTCTTTTAATATGAATATGTACAAAATTAGAGGGCATATTTTAAGTTTTTAAATAAAATAAATATGCATAAAATTTGCATCTAAAAATTGCATGGCCATGGACCAGTTAAGAGTCTTCAGGATTTGTGCTTTGAGGGTCTTACTCGTCTCATCATTCAGGAAGTAATAAATCTTGATCTGATATTAAGGAAATGAAAATTGAATCAGCTAAAGCTATTGTTAAAATTCAGTTTCCTGGAAACTCTAGCTTCAAAGGGAAAGGTCTGTGAATATATATTTAACAAGCATCTTTATTCATTAATATTATCAGGTGAATTTAGGCAATATGGGTTTACTATAATATTTAGCCTTCGGGTGTGGTTCTTAAAAAGATTTTAATAAAAACTTAAAAATTACCATTTTTCTTTTGATGATATTCGGAAGAATATTCTATAGAGTCAAAGGTTGCTTCAAAAATAAATGTAATAAAATAATTTGACTTCAAAAAATAACTGGACATAACTTCAAGTATTATGGCTTGTAGTGAATATTAAAAAATTACTGTTTTAACCAAAATATCCTATAACCTAAGTAAACTTTTCACATGTGTTCAAGGTATTGGTTGATAAATTTGGTATGGTAGTCATGCTATATTTATGACTTGGAAAGAAAAATAAAGGCTACTTTTTGGATTTTTTTCCCCTTAATCTGAAAACTCCTTCCCTAGCAAATCGTGTTTGTGTTAGTTTATCCCCAAAGCTTGTTAATTTTGATTGTTAAAGTAATGTTTCTCAATTTTGTTCTCCATTGTCTAAATTTTAACATGGTAATATTTCTAAAATTTTCTTTAGTAATGCCTATGTTTTAAGAATAGTTTAATCAAAGAGAAATGATTGAAGGAAATATAAGGTTCGGTTAGGCAAGTATAATTCATAAAAATAGATATTTCAATTGTTGGCTAAATTTCTGTAAATTCACAATTTACTTTTTTCCCCCCCCAAAGATACTTGCATAACAACAAGGAGTAGAAGCAGTTGTACCTCTTCAAATTCTTCGCTTTCTAACTACTTGTATGTCTTCATCTTGGGCCAACTGTTGCTGGGAACTGGGGGAACTCCTCTCTATACTCTGGGAACAGCTTTTATTGATGATTCTGTGCCCACACACAAGTCTTCGCTCTACATAGGTAAGTTTTCTCTTTCCTAACGTATCAATGTTTCGGGATCATTTCATTTTATTGCTTTTTAATTTATACGTAAAAGCATAATGCATGCTTATTGAAAAGTTAGTTGTAATTTCCTAGGTATTTCCGTTAGATTCCCAGTAAATATTCGGTCTAGCAATATTCTTCATTTTGTTTCATTATTTACTGACACATGTCCTTCAGTTGAATGTGGTTATGAGTTTGGTTGACATCCTGCTCTGTTTCCTGTTCTGGACATGCTAGCCTTCTTGGCAGTGCCATCCAAGCAGTAGGCTGTCCAGATTACTTGAATTCTAGGCTAATTTACACAGGGTGGGGAGATGGAGCTGTGCCACTCCACCTGATTTACCACATCCTACATGGACCTGACTAGAGTCAACAAAATAAATCACCCAGAAATTCTGTGGAGTTTTTCATTTCAGATGAATTCTTTTTATATATGGCTCAATTCTTGTGGGGGGGGAGAGAATCTAATGTTTGGTAACCTAAGTTTCTAGTTTCTCTTAAATTCCTTCTCTAATACTCTTGCGAGGTAGAGCTCACTAGGTTATGCATGGCCTTTTGTTAAATCAATGTGTTTCACATTTCATTTTATCAGTTTTCATTTTAATAGTTTATTATTCTAATGTAGAGGACTGTCTTAGTTCCTCCAGTCTTCTCTAACAGAATATTGTAGACCGCTTGGCTTATAAACAACAGACATTTATTTCTCACAGCTCTGGAGACTGAGAAGGCCAAGATCAGGGTATCTACCCACAGATCATTGTCTGGTGAGGCCCACTTACTACTTCATAATCATTCATCTTTTTTCCTGTGTCCTCATATGACAGATGGGAAGAGAGGACTTTCTGGGGCATCTTCTTATAAGGGCACTAATCTCATTTAATGAAGTCTCCACTCTCATGATGTCATCAGTTCCAAAGGTCCCACCTCCTACCATCACATTAGGGATTAGTTTTCAACAATGGAATTTTGGGAGGACACAAGCATTCAGTCTGTAGTAAGGATTATTGCCATAGTCTCTGGAAGTCAAATATGTTCAATGTAGCCCTAATAGAGACCACTAGAGCTACCTAGGCTCTTCTGTAATGTGAAAACCACTACACTTCTACTTGTTTTCTCTACTCGTTTTGCCTTAGTCTCTCTGCAAGGTCTGATTCCCTCTCCCTGTAAGTTACAGCTAATCTGTACAATTTTTCTTGTATTTACTAATTTAAGAGTGCTTTTTTTCCCAATTAGCTGGTGAAGATGCTTTTCACTCTTCCAGTTCAACAGATTTTCTTTCTGAAGTCCTCTTCTGATCAGTACTTCTAAGACAATTCTAATCTTTAAGTTTTAGTAGCACAAAAATAGTAAGTTTCTCAAAAATTATTTAAACACAGTTGGTGGGGTAGAGGCCTATAGGACCATCCCAGATTCCATAAATCTGTAGGAGGACTGACTTAGATATTATCTTGGTCATAGCTTTGATTTATTATAGCAAAATGATACCAAGCAAAATCAGCAAGGGGATAAGGTGCATTAGGCAAAGTACAGCCAAAAACTGGGTGCAAGCTTCCAAGATTTAGCTCCTCCTAGTGGAGCCATTACAGCTAGCAATTGATCCTGCCAGCAATGAGTTTGGAATATTTTCTACAAGTTCATTAGAGATTCAGTGACCAAGGATTTCACTGGAGGTTGATCATATAGGGACCCTGTGCCTTGCATATATCAAAGTTCTAGATTCCCAAAAGGAATACAAGGGGTCAGCAAAAGCATATTTACAGTGTAGGCACACTAACCTTATTAGTTACGGAATGGTGGCATCCCTCTGGGCAGTTCAGTAAATCCCAAATGCCAGCTAAGGGCCAACCTTGCCAACAGGTCTTTCTGAAGTTAGCAGTCACAGGCCTGCTGTGTTAACTCTTTCCCTTCCTGTAGGAACTCATCAAATGGTAGTTTTTGAGAGTAAAGGGCAAAAAAAAGTAACAAAATTGGGAAACTTATCTTAATTTTATTTTTCTGTTAAGGAAGATACAAACAGTTATAGTATCTTATATACGTTTATTTTTTTCACTTTCAGATAACTACCGTTTTTCACCAGATATTTAGGTTTTATTGCACAAAATCCTTCCTTTTTATATATTTTTATTTCCCTCACTTTCAAAATGTTTCCTCCATTGTTTCTTTCTTTTAAAACAGTGTCTATTACTGGTGGCATACATTCTTCTATGAGACACACTGTATTCATAACAATGCAAAAATGGGCAAAATGAAAAAGGTCAAAATTTGCTACCTTTTAGAATAAATTTTAAAAAGTGGTTAATGCAACATCTCTATCCTCACAAATGTTTCCAGGCAGTCACTCTTTATTCCTCTACTTCTTTGATGCTTTCCTTGGGTTAACAATCTTTTTTCTTTCATTGAACTTTTTAATTCATTTAATGTAATTTTGTGTTTAAATCTTTCATCTTAACATGTGCTTCCTATGCTTTCTATTTACTCTATGTCCTTATTTCTTGCTCTTTTTTTTCTTTCTTTTGGCTAATTTAATATTATTTCATTTCTTCTCTCTATTAACTTCCTGGGTATATACTCTTTTACTTCTCATCTACTAATGACCTTATATGTAAACATGATTTTATGAAATTCTAATGTTAATCAGTACTTTTACCACATACTTGATCACCACAAATGTTCTAGAATCCTTTAACTAAAAATGTTCTTTTTAAGCCTTTTCCCTGATGAATATTTTCACTAGGAATATGACTAGCTGGCCAGTGATTTTTTTTTTTCAGTACTTTAAAAATACTCTTCCTTTGTCTTTTCACTTCCACTGTTTCTTATATGTTTGCCATTTTAAGATTTTTCTCTTTGCATTTGATTTTCATCAGTTTTGTTTGTATCATGTGTATAGGTGCAAAATTACTTTTATTTAACCTTCTGTGGATTTTATATGACTTCATAAATATATTTTTTGATATTTTTATTGGCTTTAGGATATTTCCTATGATTATTTATTCAAATATAACCTCTTCCTATTATCTCCTCTCTTAGGACTCCCATTGCATGTATGCTAAGCCTTTTTGTGAAAAATGTATTCTTCATATATTACTCTTTTCTGTATTTTTTTTTATCCTTTGTTTTTATTTTTTTGTGCTTCTCTGTAAATATATACTGACTTAATTGATTTTCCAGTTTGGTAATCCTCAGTTTAGTCCTGAGTAATCTGCTATGTATCTCTTTCATTTTAACTTTGACAAAGGTGTTTTATTTGACAGTATTTCTCCAAACCCTCCTTTTTGTTTTTTCATAAATTACCTATCTCTGATGTATTTGGGAAACCCTGGAATCTGAGATTCCCTTTATCTAACTTCACATATTGAGTTTATTTGAAGCAAAGCTGTACGTACTCTGTGGGCAAGTCTAACTTCTAACTCACTGTTACTTTTAGAGTATGGCCTCCTGGTACCAACATAAAATGTAGGGTGGGCAAAGTCTATAAGGTATAACTTCCAAGTTAGAGACACTGGGCTGTAACTTTGGTTTCCCTACTTTCCTGGAGACTAGCAAGGATTGCTAACCTTCCCAATGTATTTTGTAGAATCAGCAAATACACTCAGGAAAAATACAAGTCCCAGTTCTTTAGATCTTTCTCCTCAGAATTTTGACTCAGTGGTCCTTCAAAAGTTCTTATGTTTTCAGATCATTTTGCATGAGATCTACATTGGAGACTTGGTCAAGGACATAAATCATTTCTGCCATTGACATATGCTTAGCTTTGGATATGATAAATTCATTCTTTTGTGTATGTGAATGAAAATCTTAGTAGTTTTTTTTTTTATAATTTTTTATTTACTTAGGATAGTCACAGAGAGAGAGAGGCAGAGAGAGAAGCAGGCTCCATGTACCGGGAGCCCGATGTGGGATTCGATCCCGGGTCTCCAGGATCGCGCCCTGGGCCAAAGGCAGGCGCCAAACCGCTGCGCCACCCAGGGATCCCAAAATCTTAGTAGTTAATAAAAAATTCAGAAGGTGGTAATATATGAAGATACTAACATATGCATAATTTTTTGCAAAAATTTGAATGTTACAATGCATGGCAAAAATTTAAATATCTGAGAGAAATAAGGTCAATTTAATTCTGCTGCAAGTGGAAATGGAAGATTCACTAAGTATGGGACTTTAAATTAATGGCTTACTTTTATGAAACAGGCTAATCATCACATCCAGGTTTTAAAATTAGCTGCTGTAGTGCAAAATACATACTGCATTTGGAATGTGTACAGAGTAGAAAAGACTTCTCATTTCACATTATTTTCTTACATAACAATTGTAAACAGTAATTATTATCATCATCCCTGAAGGGTAATAGCAGATGTACTACTTCTGTTGCTATTTAACATATGTAACTTTCCATGAATATGTAATTGTTGGATTTATTGCAATTATTATTATAGTCTAACAGCTTTTACATTGAATTACATATATATTTACATTTAAAATATATTTTATAGTTATATTTATTTTTAAAAATATTTTTAAGCTCCTTACTTAACAAATGGTACCAAATTGTATTTTTTATTGAAAATATGTGTAATTTTGTTGTAATTCTAATCATTTCAATTTTTTTACAGTAAAATATTTCTTCACTACTGTAGGACATTCATAACGAAGTTGTACAGTTGACCATTTTCAATGTCTTTGTTCTTCTAGGAATTGGCTATTCTATGTCAATATTAGGCCCTGCTATTGGCTATGTGTTGGGTGGACAGCTGCTAACCTTGTATATTGATGTGGATATGGGAAAAAGGCAAGGCAATATCTTTTTCTTTTATTTAAATTTATTTTATTTTAATAATGTTAATATCATAGAACATTTTCAAAGTATTTCTTCAGATAGAATGAGGATTTTTCAGGAAACAAAACTGAACACACACAATTTTTACATAATGTTTCAGCTGCACTACTTCATGAATTAATGCCATACCACCCCCTAGTATAATGCATTTATTCATAAATAAGAATGATTAAAAGTCACCTGTGAAATTTTTCAAAATACACATCTAGGACCCCATGCATTTTTCAGAAAGAAGAATTTAATTAAAATTAGTTGTGCTTTTAGTAGATTAACCGGGTATGGCTAGTCTGAAAAGTCTCAAGAGTCTATGATTCTCAGATTAAGTTCTGTAGTAGTTCCGATATGGTCATAGGAATCACAGGTGTGTGGTTTTAACTGTAGCCATAGAGGATGATAATAGGTAGTGTTTACTTATCCCATGCTATTTTCATAGGTTTTGTATGTTACGTATTTTACATACCCCTTAACTTAATCCTTTTAATAATCCAATAAGGTAATTGATACACAGAGGTTAGTAAGTCGCCTAAGACATGAATTCAAGTAGGTCTTTTTGACTCCAAAATCCTCCTTTTAACCACTAAGTTACCTTCTCTTTTTCCTGAATATAGAGAAGTTAGTAACTTTTGGTGAAACCATATTTTTTCATTTTACCACTAGGAATTAAAACTGTACACTCCTATGTGATTGGGTATAATGAATAAGAAAATGTGGTTATACTTTATTTTTAAAAAAATATTTTATTTATTTGAGAGAGAGAGCATAGGAGTGAGGGGGACAGAGGGAAAGGGAGAAACAGACTCCCCATGGAGCAGGGAGCCCCCTGTGGGGCTCCGTCTTGAGACTGTGGGATCATGACCTGAACCAAGTCAGATGCTTAACCTATTGAGCCACCCAGGCACCCTGAAAATGTATTTATAGATATGTGATTTGTTCTTTGAGCTGTTAGTTCCAGTTTACTATTTTAGATAGTATATAAAAGATGTATGAAGGAAGTCCTTGAAACAGAGAGCTGGGTTTTTAAGAAAAGTTTTTAATTTCAGTGGAGAATTACATGAGTTTTAGGGTTGGTGTGTTTGGGGAGAAACCGGTTGATATACAACTATGAGAATCATTGTACAACACTGTTAATAAATTATTTTAAGAAGGACTTTATAGTCAGAGAAAGACAAATACTATATGATTTCATGTGTATGTGGAATCTAAAAAAGCATGCGAACAACGACAAAAAACAAGCTCATAGATACAGAGAATAAATTTGTGGTTACCCTAGGTGGGGGAATGGGTGAAATGAGTAAAGGGAGTCAAAAGGTACGAATTTCTAATTTTAAAATAATTAAGTCATGGGGTATAATATACAACATGGAAACTATAGTTAGTAATATCGGACTGCATTTTTGAAAGTTGTTTAGAGTGAATCTTACAAATTCTCAAAACAAGAAAAACAGTTCTATAAATACAGTGACAGGTAATGTGTTGGTCATTTTGTAATATATAGAAATACATAACATGTGATATATAGAAATAATACATCATTGTATTACATATCTGAGACTAATATAATATTGTATGTCAGTTATACTTTAATAAATACATTAATTAAATAGAGGAATTTTACGCTTAAATGAATGCCTTAATTGAAGCACAGTGTACGGACTTTTAACACAGATCAGTGATTTGCTATAAGATGTACTCAGTATAGTAGAGAAGAAAAACTTAGCCAAAGTTAGGTAAAGAATGTTCAGAAATTCTATGTATGCTTCCAGATATTTAGCATACTTATATTTACTATTAAATATTTTGCATTTCTATGTCACATTGCCATTTGAAATACTTTGTAAGCCATTATAACTCTCATTTATGCCTAATGTCTGTTGTCTGATTCATTGCAATGACTCAGTTTAAATGTTGGATATTATAATACTATTCCCCTATATATGTGCTGAATTGCAAAGTATATACTTATCATAACTGCATTTTAATGAACAAGGTAGAGTTAACTTTTATATTTTGTTTTTCTTTTTTTTAATATATTTTGTTTTTCTATTACATAGCATAGGTATCTCTGAAGATGATCCACGATGGCTGGGGGCATGGTGGATCGGATTTCTTCTGTGTTGGATCTTTGCTTGGTCTTTGATAATACCTTTTTTATGTTTTCCAAAACATTTACCAGGTAAACATATCTTCTTTAAAACCAATTGGTAGGCCAAGGGTTGCTTATAATTTGTAAGATGCCTAGAAAATTCATTGTTTTATAGAATTTCATTTGTCTGCCTATGCAAACTTTTGGATATTTTTGTCTTTAGGAAATACTGGGTAGCTATCAAAATACTCATGGTTTTCCTTTATTTCCAATTAATAAAAGCAATAAAACTATATGTATTCACTTTCTTACTATGTTTATATACTTAATAATATATATTAATAACATAGTAATAACATATATAATACTATAATAATATGTAATATGAGTAATAATATATCATTATAAATATACTTAATAAATTTGTTTCCTGTGTGTTTTCTGGAATCTTGCTTTATGTATATGCAAGATACAAGATCTTTCAAACTATTAGTTTGCGTTCAGTTCCTCACTCACCAACAGTCAATCTGCCTTAAATCATTGATATTATTTGTTGATGAGAGTACCAGTACCTTTTTTTTTTCATTTGTCATCAAAGTAATACTGTAGTATACTCATTATCACCATATTTCAATATTAGTTTCCTAAAAAGAAAAGGTTAATAGAAAAGAATATCCATTCCTTTCTTTGTAAAATTTTGCTTCTATATAATCATATAGTTCAAATACATTATCTGTTGAAATATTTTTCTCTAGGCAGAAGGTTAAATAGTTCTTTCTGTTGTCATATGCAGAAGGATAGATGATTAATTTTTCAGAATGGGCAAAAGAAAAGTTAGCAGAGTAGAAGTAGATGTAGGTGAATTCATTGATTTTGTTTTTTTCTACACTAGACCATCCAACTTATAATTCCATATATTGGCTTTTTTCTCAGATTTATTCAGGGTGCCATTATTAAAAATCAAAGGGATATGGTAATACATGGTAAATGTTTCATCTGTAAAGGGAAAGAGCCTCAAACATACTTTGTTTCATATATAATGGATGAAAAAAAGAGATCCATTCTAGAGGAAGAAGAGAATTTAAGAGATATTTTTAAATAAAGGGAATGAATATGTCATTGGAACAAAAGTGTCTCATCTTAATATTTAGACTTGCTGGAACCTCCTTAGCCAATAGGAATAATACTAGCTCTCAGGACAGACAAATTACATACATAGATATTTGTGCAATTTTGTTGACAGAGAGAAACTGGCTTCTTACGTTACAGAATTTGTATATTTGTAGAAATACATGTCAGTTAAAAAGTAAGCATTTAAAAAATGAGAATGAAAAAAATTTAAAAGATAATAAAAAAAATAAAAAGTGAAAAATGAAGTGATAGAACAAGTACATTTACCTTTACCTTTACCTTTTTTTTTTTTTTTTTTTTTTTAGGTACAGCAAAACTTCGTAGTGAAAGAACTTGCCAGACTCATAAGGAAAAGAGTAGTTCCTTAAAAGACACAGAGGAGAATTTTGGAACAAGTTTGAAAGATTTTCCAACTGCTCTAAAGGTAAAATAACACTGTATATGCATAGACACATGCACACCCTCCACATTTAAATAGGTAGATATATGTATGTATTACATAAAGATGAGTAAATATATACATATTCACAGACAAATATTTCACAATTCATTTTCATTTGCCTATTTACTATGGTTCTAGCTTTTATAAATAAATAACTCTTCAGATTTAATTTTATTATGCTTGGAGTAAATAAGAGCTATTCCAGGGTAAAATGGTTGAAAGAACATGAGTTATCTTCTTGGCAATATCAATATTCAGTGGTTCCTCCTTAGGACTGCAGCCAATCATTATTCTATGCCATTTCCCTAATGTAGTGGATCAATTGGTTATCACTGAATTGTTAATACCCTATTTGAGAATGTCAAACTGATATTTTTCCCTTGTGAAAGAAGTGGCAGTTAGTGGTTACTTGGTTTGAATTTGAGGTTAAAGAAACAAATGGTATGGTCTATCCTGTTGTACTCCTAAGAAAGATATTCTTCCCATATAGCATCATAAAAATTTTGTACATACAGGAGTCATAATTTTACCTTTTCAAGATTTGAAAATTATTTACCTTTCAATTATTTTCATTTTCCTCCTCAAATGAAAGCCTGAAATGTTCTTATTTCCATTTATCCTACTTTTCAACTCTCTGTTTTCTCCCTGGTAGGCAAAATTTTGTGTTCTGCTGAGATTGTTCATGATTTTTAATTCCAACTTCTGTTTTCTTTTATAAATTCTTGTGTGTATTACCATCAAGGGTTAACTCACCACTGCTTTTTAAAATTCCTGCTTTAAGGTTTCATGCTTCATGGTCTTGATTCCGATTCAGATCCCTCTGGGTAGAGTATTATATTGCTAGTTTTCCTCAGACAAGATGCCATCTAAGTATCCTTGAATACTGAATGATATTTCTGACTGGATGGACACTTTCGGATCACATTCTTTTAGTCCCAGAAATCTGTGGGTGTTACCTTGCTCTTTTCTGGTTAATTGTATTGTAGTTAAGAAGTTCCATGTCAGTGTGATTCTTTTACATCTCCATCGGCAAATTTATAAACTTTTTTTCATTTATTTGCAATTTCAGTCAATTTGTTAGGTTATGCCTCTATGTATGTGTTTTTTTCATTAATCCTTGTCAGGTGATTTTTTTTCATTAATCCTTGCTAGGAATCCATTATTTTTTTAATCTGATGATTTAAATACTTTCTGCTATTATCCTTTTTAAAAAGTATTGAATGTTTTCATTTGGGTACTTTTTCTCCTTTTGTCACTATTGTTATTCTTATGTTAGATCATCTGAATATGATTTAAAACTCTCTTATCTTGCCCTTTTGTGACTCATCTATGTGGGTCTGTGCATGTGTGTATTTTGTTTGATTTAATGAAATTTCTTTTGCATTTAATATTCCAGAACTATAATTTGATTTTCACTTTATGGTTAGATTAAATTGACCTAATTAATCTCTATTCTCTCCCCCAATAGATTAAAAAAGATTCTGAGAATCTTTTCTCAAAGACCAAGCAATGTGGACCTCTCTTTAAAATTATTACTACCTAAGGTTCTTAACTATAGAGTCCTTTACTCATGGAACACTACAGATTTTATACTTAGAGACCATTCTCATCTGTACTTGTAATTGAGTTCTTCGCTTACTAGACATGGAAATTCAGAGCATGCTACAACAAATCAGGCAAGGGATAGATTTAATGTATGGAGATTTATAATCGACTGGGAAAGGGAACCTTTCCAAGCTGGCTTTTACCTTCTTTACCCAGTCGCTGCATATGATAAGGCACAGTCACCCTCTTGATGAATCACCTATCAATTCTCTAGGTACTGCATGTATAAATGTTCTCGTTGTAGTATATATAAAGCTATTAGTATTCTGTACTTATGCTTTGGTACTGGAGAAAATGCTGAAATTTATAATTATATTGTATTTATTAAAAATTTGCCATTTCATCATGCTGCTGATTCTAATGCTACATTTTATAATATAAGCATAGTTATTCATTTGGTGAACTATATTTTTTCTTTAGAATTTGATGGGGAATACTGTCTTTATGTGTTTAGTTCTTTCAACTTCTTCAGAAGCCTTAATTACTACTGGGTTTGCTACATTTTTACCTAAATTTATAGAAAATCAGTTTGGATTGTCTTCCAGCTTTGCAGCCACCCTTGCAGGTAAACCATTTTCTGCTTTGTTCGAATTTAATCTAATAATTTTACTTTACCACATTAAATGCTTATCAGAATAGTGTATCATTTTTGATAGCCCTCTTTTTAAAATTTACTATATTAGTTTGATACAAGTTTCTAATTTTCTGACATTTGACAGTCTGTTTTATGAATGAGAAGTACAGAAGCTGTAGAGCTAAAGAGCATATTTGTCAATCTTAATATTCAAAACATTAATTTTATTAATCTCTTGCAATAACCATTATATCATTCATTCAGGTGTTTCTAAATGGCTAAATAATATTCATATGTTAATACTGTGCTTGTTTTTGATGTTTTTCAATTCTCATTTGAGTAACTGAGTACACATGTATGTTTTCTCACTCTCTGTGTCTTCTTTCTCATCAGGGGCTGTTTTAATTCCTGGAGCTGCTCTTGGTCAGATTTTAGGTGGTGTCCTTGTTTCAAAACTCAAAATGACATGTAAAAACACAATGAAGTTTGCTTTGCTTACATCTTTAGTTGCATTTGCTCTGAGTTTTGTATTTGTTTATGCCAACTGTGAAAATGAGCCATTTGCTGGTGTGTCTGAATCATATAATGGGTAAATATATTTCAGTGCTTTTGATATTAATGTCAGGGTAATAAACTATGTATATATTTCAGAGTACATGCTTTCTTGAGTAAATTAATGAAAGACTGGCTTTTTTTTTTAATTGGAAGGCTTTCTCCTATGTAAGGATATATAGGTTTTTTTTTTTTAGTTTGTTTGCTTGTTTATTTATTTTTAAAGATTTTATTTATCTATGAGAGACACATAGAGAGAGGCGGAAACATAGGCAGAGAGAGAAGCAGGCTTCCCACAGGGAATCCGACGTAGGACTTGATCCCAGGACCCGGGATCACACCCTTAGCCGAAGACAGAGGCTCAACCAATGAGCCACCCAGGTGTCCCTTGTTTTGTAGTTTAAATAACTGAAGATTAGTATAACGGAATCTTTGTGCTGAAGGGATTCACATCCTAGGGGGTAATTTCTTATCTTCTGTTGCTATTGAAAGTCTTGAAAAATAGAGGTGATTCCCTATGGTGAAATTCATGTATTAGGTGGGTTGAAAATAATCTAGGAGAGAAATTAAATGAAACTAGTCCTAGGTTATACTAATTATTATTGTTTCTACTCTATTTTTTGTTTATTGTTTTTTTTTCTATTTTAGAAGCTCATGTTTATTGGAGAGAAAGAAATGACTTGTTGTTCTGACTCATAAACATATTTTTACCTGTAACTGATGTGATCATTTTTACCTTTCTTTGCCTTGTTTGTTTGGTTTTGAAATCCCAAACTGTGAGTTAGGTGATCAGGCAGGTTGGCATTGCACTGTGATGCATTTATAGCCTGTATTGCTGCTTTCATTGTTTCATTGCATGTGTTTGAGGCAGATGAGGGAGCTAGTACTCCATAAGGTCAAGGACTCCACAGTTTTTTAGAATATGACATTCAGGTAACCTAAATAGAATGTACTTTGTTTGCATGAGTTTGCCAGTAACAATTATGATTTGCAATTGCTGTTCATTTCTGCCATTCTTTTACATTAATGAGTTGCTGAGCATTCTGAAGCAATGCTAAGTTCATTTTTATTACATTTATTCACATTTGTTGACTACATCTTCTGGCTGACTTTTATGACAAAATCCCTGCTCTAAAGGAGTTTACAATGTAGCAGGAGAGATGGGGGAAACTAAATGGTAAATGAACAATGCATTAGGTAATGAGAGACATAGAAAAGGCTATGAAATTCAAAAGGAGGGCTTTTCAGTTTCCTTTAATTAGATTCAGGAAGAGTATGGGCTTACATATCCTTTAAGGATACGAAGAGTTTTGGGAAGAGAGAAAGGCTGAGGGGGAATATGTTAGCCATAAATGCTAGAAAGTAAAGGCTAGGTTCAGGAACCAGTTTGAATGAGACTTAGGTTTTGTAACTGTAAATCAAAATTTCTGGAGATGCTGAAAGGTAGGTAGAGGTAAACTCTGCAGACCTAACTTTAATATCTACAAACTTCACCCAAACATATCCCGAGGAACTACTTTTTTTTTTATGTTCCTTTTAGAAGAACAGAAAGTTCTGGATAGGTTAACACTCGTTAATCTTCGTGAAAAATGAATGATGCAGATGTGAATCTATTTGCTTTTTTTTTTTTTAACCTTAAACAAGAGTTACTACCAGATAAATTGTCCTTAGTCTATGGACAGGAAGGAAGACAAGTGAGAAGGTGTTAGTTTGAGGGGTATGTGGCCCCAAATTTTCAGTTTTAGCTCTGTGTGCTGCATATTAAAATGTACATATTATGGGTAGCCTCATTCAAGAAACATGTGTATTGGGATGCCTAGGTGGCTCAGCGGTTGAGCATCTGCCTTTGACTCAGAGCCTGATCCCAGGGTCCTGGGATCGAGTCCCACATCCGGCTCCCTGCATGGAGTCTGCTTCTTCCTCTGCCTGTGTCTCTGCTTCTCTCTGTGTGTCTCTCATGAATAAATAAATAAAATCTTAAAAACAAAAAAAAACGTGTATAAGAAAAAGTAGTATATGGAATAAAGAATAGACTAAGAAGCTCAAGAAATATGGGGCTCCTGGCTGGCTCAGTGATTGAGCATCTGCTTTCGGCTCAGATGATGATCCCAGGGTTCTGGGATCAAGCCCCATATCGGGCTCCCTGTGGGGATCCTGCTTCTCCCTCTCCCTGTGTCCCTGCCTCTCTCTCTGTGTCTCTCATGAATAAATAAATAAAATCTTAAAAAAAAAGAAGCTCAAGAAATAACTTGTTAGTGAAAGAAGTCATGAAAATGGAACATTTTTAGTAGATTGCTGTAGGCTTTCCCCATGCCATGTAATCACAGGTGGTTAGAAACAGCTTTTTTGACTATGAATTATTTAGTGAGGCTTATTGATAAGTTTAATTAAAACTCTGTTAAACGATATACATAAAAAACTTAAGATCAACAATACTGATTATTTTAGTGGATATTAATAATATTTATAATATGTTATATGAATTCATTCTTAAATGTTTAATGTGGGCACAACAATTGAAAGGAGACTGTCATTTCTAAAAGTCTATTAGTTATTAAAAATCCCTATGGTTCTTTTACTGCCTTGACGATATAGGCAATTTGAGTCTGTTTTGTTAATCAGTGCTAATAATGGTGATTTGTGTTTTACTTTATACTTAGAATCTCATAAAATATGAAATACTGCACCAAGTACACACAATATTTTTTCTCTATCTGGTCTATAGCTAGAATTTCTTTTCTTATCTGAAACAGCACCTTAAAGAAGCATACCTATTAGGATGTTGTAATACTTTTAGGGAAATCTTTGCTTATGGTAGAGGCATAATTGTAGAGTAGTTTGGATTCAAATAAGAAATCAGCATTTAAATTCAATTTGTCATATACACGTTGCTCATATAGACAGATGTGTGCATATATCTATTTTTTAAATATTCAAAAATTTTAAAATTTAAAATACTTATTCATTTTAAAAATACTATGTATATTAAGTCCATTTAATATACTTTGCAAGCATTGGCTATTTTCCTAAAAATAGTTTCCTTTACCTCTTGCAGTAAAGGTTTATAACATATATAGACTTAAGTGGCATATGTAGGCTTGATAATAAGGGATATATGCTATATTTCTTTGTTTCTTGAAGAGAAGTTTGTATCATACTGTTTTCATGTTTTCAATAGTCACTTGAGAGAATGAGAATTATATATTGGGAAATTTAAATTAAAAACTGTGTAGAAGCTGTTTCTAGAATTGAAGGGGTAGTATTTTTCTAGTTGCTGTACTCCTATATCTATATTGTAAGCTAGGTATAGGTAGTCCAGAATGCTTTCTTTTGAGAGTAAAACAGTGCTTGGTAAAAAAAAAAAATGAGCAGCAGCCTATGGAATAGATTAGAAGAGACTCCAGGCAGAGTGACAAATTACTTAGATTTTACACACTGAGCACCTTTCCTTCAAACTTAGACTGATTTGTTTCCAATTTTTTTTTCTATCCTTCAGTCTATTTCTTTCATGAATGAGCACCTGATTCTCCACCAACCCCTTAAATATCATCATTTTCCAACATAGTGGTTATTATCTTCTAATCTTTAGATAAATCACTCATTTACTGATTTTGACCTCCCAGTGCAGGAGTGTTAGCTTCATGGTTACTATGAGGAGGGGTTTTATTATCCCTTTCGCTCTGCTCCCCCTGCCCCCACCTTTTCTTCTTCCTCCCTTTCCCTCCTTCCCTCCCTCCCTTTCTCTGTGTCTTTGTCTCTATCTCTTTATTTCTTTTCTTTTTTAAAAGATTTTATTTATTTATTCATGAGAGACACAGAGAAAAGCAGAGACACAGGCAGAGGGAGAAGCAAGCCCCTGCAGGGAGCCTGATGCAGGACTCGATCCCTGGACCCCGGGATCACACCCTGAGCCAAAGGCAGATGCTCAACCGTGAGCCACCCAGGTGCCTTGCTCCTAAAGAGTCTCACTCAAATTTTGCCTTTCTTTCTTCCATGCTTCTAAAGTGTATTTTGCAAAAACTTTTAACCACTCACCATATTAGTGTATAATTATCTGTGTCCATCTCTACTCCTAGACTGTGAAATCTTTGAGGACAGCAACTACCTTACTCAGCTTTGTATTCCTGATACCTAGCATACAGCCTAGCATTTGCTCAGTTTATTGGTTGAATGAATGAATAAATAGGGACTCGAGAAATATCTTTGATTAGGGTAACCCTTTATCTTAACAAACATATTGCATCCTATTAAGAGGCAGTCTGGAACACAACTGAGCCTGGGAACCAGGAATATTTGGCAAAGACAGGAAAAGTGATTTAATCTCTCTGGGCCCTAGTTTTCCCACTGATAATATGAGTATGCTGAATACCATTATTTTATTCATCCTTCTAGACTTAAATTTTTGCCTACACCCCAGGGAAATTAGGCAATGTCTGTAGAAATTTTGGTTGTCATAACTGAGGGAGTGTTACTGGCATCTAGTGGGTAGAGACCAGGGATGCTGCTAAGCATCCTACAATCCACAAAATCAGCACTCTCCTCCTTACCACCCCTTGAAAGAGTAATGTACAAAAAAAAAAAAAAAAAAAGAGTAATGTACCAAATGAGAAACCTTGCTTTATTTGCTTTCTCTGCCTGTTTTTCTAATCACTGGCACGCGTTATACAAGTATTGCTCGTACTTCCTCTCTCTCCCATAAGAAATTAAATTCTATGTGAAAAGACAGACATTTTATTTGTTTTACTCATTCAGTAATTAAATATGTGTTAAGTGAGTAAATAAATGACTGAATGGAAGGTATAGCAAGGCTTCTGAACTGTTCATTAAAAGTTACAATTCATATAATTTGCCCTCATTTAATTTCTTGTTAACAGGACAGGAAAACTGGGAAACTTGACCGCTCCTTGTAATAGCAATTGTCACTGCTTGAGATCATATTATTATCCTATCTGCGGAGGAGATGGAATCCAGTATTTTTCTCCCTGCTTTGCAGGTTGTGCAAATTCTACTTCAAAAAGACATCCAAAGGTAACTCGTGTCTTCTGCTTTACTTTAATGAGGCAGTGTCTTTGTATATTTATGGATGGCCATCTTTATCCCTCTAGTGGAATTTAGTGGTTCTAGTTCTTCCTTGCTGCCCAGGAGGGGCCATTCAGAAGCCAGACATAAAGTTTCAGTCAAGTTAGATGAATAAACTCTAGAGATCTGCTGTACAACATTGTGCCTATTGTCAACAATAATGTATTGAATGCTTTAAATTGGTTAAAAGGGTAGAGCTCAGGCAAAGTGGAGTGAAATAAGAGTGAAATATTATTTACCTTTTTATATTTTATTTTTTCTCAGCCAAATTAATTAATTCTCAAATACAAATTTACTTTTAATTCTAGATTAGAATGCATATTAGTTTACCTACATAGGATTTTTTAAAAAATGAAATGGTTTAAGAGAGTCCAATAGAATTTTATTGTACTACATCTACAATCTAAAGATTTCATGTTAGCTAAATTTAAGAATTTTGGGGAAAAATGACATTCAAATTATTGGTAGCACATAATGTTATACATTAATAAGGGATCACAATGAATAAGATAAATAAGAAATGCGTGACAAAAGAGCACAATCTTGACTATTTGAAACGTAGAATCATGAAATGGCATTCCTTTTCCCATACAAAGAGAAGTTTAAGATTGCAGGAAAAGATTTCTATGTAAATAAGTATAAATAGATAATTGGAATGATCCATAAAATTACTTTAGATTTCTTCTAAAACCAACATGGATATATTTGTTGGTTATAACGTGTGGTTATGCACGTTTGCATGTTCATACATACACACATAAATCTATGTATTGTGTGTACACATATACATATATCTTTAATGATTTTATGTGCAATAAATACAGTTAGGTACTCCTACTATATTCGTCACTCCTTCCTGCAGGTGTGAGAATATGAGAAACAATGTACATTTTTTCATATTATTTAACTTACAGATTTTTATTATTTTTATTGTTTTTAAAAGATTTTATTTATTTATTCATGAGAGACACAGAGAGAGAAAGAGGGCCGAGACACAGGCAGAGGGAGAAGCAGGCTCCACGCAGGGAGCCTGACGCGGGACTCGATCCCAGGACTTTAGCACTAGACTGACTTTAGCACTAAAAAATAAAAAAAGATTTCTGCCCTTCAGAATAATAAAAGAATGATTTCCTTTGACTTCTTTGGCTTTAATATGACTTTTATTGAGGAGTTAGACTTGTAAAAAGATTTATAGTAAGGATAGAATTGAGATATAAAAAATCTTTAAAAAATAGTTATGCCTAATGAACTTCTTAAACTCTCAGTTCTTTTCCTTTGAAAGTTATACTTGTGATCTTTTAACATGTTTCCTTCTAACACTTTATATTATTAATTAAATATGTATATATTAAATAGTTAATATTTTATGCTTATATATAAAATAACCTTTTGGATAATGAAGTAATAACTTCAAGTTTTTGATTGTCGTGTCATCCTAGAAGATATACAGTTTACTTTTAGTAAAGCAGTTACAAAAAGTTCAGAAAGTTATAGTGGTTTAGTTGAAAGTAGGACTTTTTCCCCCCCAGAGAATTATGATGTATTAGTCTATTTTACTGTGCACTTGTTAAAATTACAGTGTTTGTCTTTTGAAACTAGTGTAGATAGATTGTCACTCTCCCTGCTTCTTTGTCTTCTATAATGGAAAACTATTTGAACAATTATGATCCATTAAAAGTAGTTTAGAATGTGAGAACTGGTAATTGTTTATTCTTGTCAATTTATTTCATAAGTCAAGAGTCAATAATAGGTTACAACTTGAGACAATGAACACAAAACTCAAATATGGGCCATAAAATATGACCCCTTATTTTCTTAATTTTTGCTTAATTTTTTAAGTGTTAATTACTCCTTCCCAGCATTATTTATTATGTATAGATCAAGACTATGTAAAGTGTTTGCCATGTATAGAGATCACTTAAAATGATAAAATATATTTTCAAGAGGGGCACCTAGATGGCTCAATCTGTTAAATTACTGACTCTGGATTTCACCTCAGGTCATGATCCCAGGGTTCTGGGATTAAGCCCCATGTTGGGCTTTGTGCTCAGTGGGGAGTCTGCTTGAGGATTCTCTCTCTCCTTCTCACTCTTTCCCTTCCCCCTTTCTCACTCTTTTTCTCTAACATAAATATTTTAAAAATATATATTTTCAAGATAAGTACTTTCAGTATTTTCTTGTCTACTATTTCTAGGTATATCACAACTGTTCCTGTATTGAGAGGAATGTAGAAATAACACCTACTTTGGCAAGTTTTGATTTTGAAGCTAAAGCTGGAAAATGTGAAAATCGCTGTGCAAACTTGCCTATATTCCTTGGCATTTTGTTTGCTACAATTGTCTTTACATTTATGGCTGGTACTCCTATAACTGTGTCCATCCTAAGGTATATATTATATTGTGAAATTTGCCGTTCCTAAGACATGTTGGGTGAATAGAAAATGGACTCAAGGATTCATTTGGGGTTTATACTGACCATTGGTTCCAATCGTAATTTGGTTCTTATAAGGTCACTAGTTCTATGGCATTGGACTCTACCCTAATGAAGTTCTACTTCATTGAACCATAGGTGAATGAGGTTTAAATATGATCATATAAAAATGTCTTAATATTGCCTATATGGAATATACCTGATTTTAGTTTATCTGCCTCTTTCATGAGGCTTCAGTTTAAGCTGTTTGACTGTATTTAAGCATTATGAAAATAAAGTGCATTCCACATGTGTCAGAGTCAGAATGACAGAATTTTATTCAGCCTTCCTGTAAACAGTGCTCTACTAGATGAGAAGCTAACTGCCACCTGGCTCTGAGCAGTGTTTTAAGATTTCAAATTGCTCTTTCTCCTTCTACGTCACTTGATAAAAATATTTTTTCTGCCTTTTCATAAGGTCATCAGCCTATCTATGTCTTTCCTAACAAACTCTAGCTTTTTTATTCTTCAGTTTTCGTTCCCTTATACTACTTTTTCACATACTTTTTTGTCAAGTAGAAATTTTAGAAATTCTGTCCAAAAGTATTAAATAGTCTGTTAATATTATCCTACATGGACATACAAGTTATTTAGAGAATTGAGAAAATGCTTTTTTAAAACTTTGTTTTTGAAAAATTATCTACATCACCTTTCAACTGCATGTTGATCTCTTTTATCTCCTAACTCTTGTGTGCCAGCGTCATGTAGCTTTCATCTTTGATAATCATTACTTAAAGAATCCTTGTTGAGGGATCCCTGGGTGGCGCAATGGTTTGGCGCCTGCCTTTGGCCCAGGGCGCGATCCTGGAGACCCGGGATCGAATCCCACATCGGGCTCCCGGTGCATGGAGCCTGCTTCTCCCTCTGCCTGTGTCTCTGCCTCTCTCTCTCTCTGACTATCCTAAGTAAATAAAAAATAAAAAAAAAATTAAAAAAAAGAATCCTTGTTGAATCAGATTAAGCCTCAGCAACTGTTTTGCACTGACCCAAATTTGTACCTTATATCATAGGTATGATCTCTGTCTCAAAGTCAGTAAGTTAGAATAGGAATTATTTGCTTGTGACTTAAAGGATAGTAAAAAATAAGTCTTATTAATAAATGTATTTTCTTTTTTACATATTACAATTCATACATGTTCAATATATTTGTTATACTTTATCTGACTATTTTTTGGTATTATTTGTAGTGTGTTAGGTCACATAACATTTTTCTTCTTTTACAATTCCAGAAAGGTTGAACTGTATATAAGCTGTTACAAATAGTTTATTTAATGGACATAACATTTACTTTAATCTAGAAATGCTAAGCAGTCATAGAAATAAATTTGCTCAAAGAGCAAATATACTATACGGCCACTTTTGGTTTAATATGTATTTGATATCTCCAGGTGTGTTCATCACAAGCAACGGTCCCTAGCATTGGGAATACAGTTTATGCTGCTTCGACTATTAGGTATGCCATTTTTCTTAATTCGTTGGTGACTGTTGGTTATTTTTGTCCATTAGTGTTATTGGTTTACTCGTTTATGGTGTATGCCAAGAAAATAATTAATTTAAATGCCATGGAAAACTACATAATTGTCACTGAAGAAAGCTGTTTTCTAATATTCAAGACGTATTATTTATGTATCACATAAGAAAATAATGACTTTACTTTTCACCTACCTGTTTGGTTAACTGTTGCTTTCAATTATGTTACAAATATAACTTTAAAGAGTATATCATATTTATTTAAAATACAACATAAGATCATGAACACTTGTTTAATAGAGCATAGTAAAATACATACATTTTTTCTATTCATGTAAAACCTAGTACCAACATAAATTATGATGAAATCTTATTTATAACTATGGTAATTCCTTTTCTCCCAGCATTTATCTCCATTTGGGACATAATTATATTGTATTAACAATGAAAATTAGTGAGTTGAAATATTTTAATGAAAATTTGGCATAGATATTATGGCTAGTTGAGAATTGATGGAAGATTTTATGGAAAAAATTATAAGGTTCCAGATGTAGGAAGAAATAGAAGGACAGAAATACTGTATTATACATAAAATTATATAATTATACCTACAATATTATACACATAATATTGAGATCATTTATAAAAACGAAAACCAAAAGCAGGAGCATTAGAGATCATCTGGACCAATTTCTCCATTTTCAGATGAATAAATTAAGGCTCTGAGAGATTTAGAGATTTCCCCGTAGGTACACAATTCTTGGTGAAAATGAGACTGGGAAGTGATATCCTTACTCTCGCCAGTGCTCTTTTGACACTATCATGCTGCAGGTCATGCTGGAGGTAGTTGAAACTTTTTTTTTTTTAAGATTTTCTTTATTTATTTGACAGAGAGCATGAGAGCAAGTACACAAGCAGAGGGGATAACAAGGGGAGAGGGAGAAACAGGCTCTCCACTGAGCAGGGAGCCAGATATGGGGCTAGTTCCCAGGATCCTGGCATCATGACCTGAGCCAAAGGCAGACGCTTAATAAACTGAGCTACCCAAGTGCTCCAGTAGTTAAAATCTTTGTCTAAGAAATATATTTGACTTGTAACAGTTGGAAACTCTTTAAATATGTGAAAGTTTAGTGCCTCATGACTTCATGTGAGGGAAAGGGTGTGTGATTTAAGATATATTCCCAGGTATGTTAGTACGATTGTGTGTACATGTGTGCATACACATGTACACTCTCATGTATTCACATGCACATACACATAACACATATGCTGTAGTTCAGCACTTATATTATACATCAATACTTTTGATATTTTAAAAGTAGAATAGTTAGTGCCCCTGAGTGGCTCAGTCAGCTAAGCATCCAACTCTTGTTTTTGGCTCAGGTCCTAATCTCAGGGTCATGAGGTCAAGCACCATGTCAGGCTCTGAGCTCAATGAAGAGTCTGCTAAAGTTTCTCTCTCCCTCTCCCCATCCCTGCATTCACTCTCTTTCTCTTTTTAAAATAAATCTCAAAAAAAAGAATAGCTAATTTCAAAGGCACATTCATTAAATTAGAAAAACTGGATTAAAATATTTACTTAGCTAAGTGTTAACCCAATATATGCCATTTTTTTATTAAAATAACTTTGAATTGATTAGAAGTATATAGTAATTATATAATTATTTAGTGTTTTATCTGTATTTCTTCTTATCTCTTTTATTTGTATATAACCTGATTGATTTGTATATGGGCAGATTAATTCCTAGTCTTACTTTTATGAGATATATGTATAACTATGTATATAACAACCTGTTAACTATAGACTATAATATTTACTGATTGTTTATGTCACATATAATTCTTCTAGGCACAATACCTGGACCAATTATATTTGGTGTCACAATAGACAGCACATGTATTCTGTGGGATATTAATGAATGTGGAGCTAAAGGAGCTTGCTGGATTTATAATAACATCAAGATGGCCCATATGCTAGTAGCTATAAGTAAGTGGTGATTTCTTGATAAATTTAGATTGATGAAATAATTAAGTACTTTTAAGTTTTGTAATGTTGAGTCCATGCTATCCTATAATTATGAAGCAGAAATCAGTTATCACAACAAGTTATGAAAGGCTTTAATGAGTTATAAGGCTCAGTCTAAAGTAGAAGAGAATAACATTTTAGCTTTCATTAAATCACATACACTTTTTTTAACAACCTCTTTCAAAAGTTTTTTTGAACTTCTACAAAAAGTTAAAAGACAATTCTGAGAAACTCTCTGGAATGATTGTCTTCTAGTTACCTGGGGTTTGGAAAGCACTTAGAGCTGAGGTAGAAAAGTATCTTTTGGCTCTAAAGTGTGTTGTAAGAAATTATTTTATAGCTTAACAGGTTAGCTGTGATGTTTAACCCTTTTTGCCTTCGTGGTCTGTCTTGGATAGTCTTGGTTAAGCAATAAATGACAATGAAGATTGAGGAAGTAGACCAATGTATCTATTTTGTAAGAGTTAATATCTAAAAATTTAAAACAACCTAAAGAATTAATATATTTAAATTGAAATAGAAGTAGAGGTTTCAAGACAGTGGCACAGGAGAACCCAGAACTCATCTCCTCTCATGGGCAACATATTTATAACTATATAGAGAATAATTTCTAAAGAAAAGGATCTCAACATTGGACACAGCACCCCATAACCAAGGACAAAAAAACCCCACACTGAAGTAGGAAAGGCAGAGACATGGCTTTGTGTACGATCTTGCCCCAGACATAACTCCACAATTGAGAGGGATCCCAAAAATAAAGAGCACTTCCTCAGTGAATGAAAGGTTTGAGTCCCACAACAGGCACCCTGACCCAAAGGACTGACACTAGAAATACAAGATCTCCAAACATCTGGGTTTGAAAATCAATAGGAATTAATACCAAGAGAAACACAGAACTATAGGGAACAGAGGTCCCACTCTTAAAGGGTTCATGTGCAAACCCACTTATCCTGAGATCCAGCACAAAAGTAATAGAATGAAAAACATCCAGATTATGAGACAGAAGACCCATTTACTAATTTTAAAGTGACTACTAGAGAGGCAGGAGCCTACAGGGACTCTATCCAGAGACAGAAGCCCTGATTGGCACCACTTTTACAGTCTCATCCTAACTTATGGTGTCAGAATCAATGACTGCCATTTTCCATGCACTTCTTTTACCTGATAGCACCAGAGGGCATCCTCTGTCCACCCTATACTATAAGTAGACTGGGAAAATAATCTTTAGCTCATCTACCTCACAACTAGTATGGGGAAGCTTCCTGAGCCCCATCCTCATTCAGCAGCCAAGATGCAAACAGATGGGTAGGTTCCCTGAGCTCCACCCTCCCAATGTAGCAGACAAGCTGCAACTGGGTCAGGTGAACACCCCAACCCCACCAAGCTGAAACTGAGCACCCTGGGGGCTGGCTGAGCACCCTGAGCCCCACCTACCCCATACAGCAGCTGTGTCTCTATTATAGGTAGCTAGGACATGCAGACTACATGAGGGATATCATCCATAGAGAGCCTAGCTCTGTAACCAGGGGATATTGTGGTTTTGGGCAACATGAAATGGTTGGGTCTTACACAAGTCCACTATCTCAAGATTGAAAGAGGTAGTCATTATACCTAATAGACAGAGAGGACAGGCAAAATGAGAAGGCAGATTCCAAACCAAAGAACAAAGCAAATCTCAGAAAAAAAAAAAAAAAACCCTTAAGGAAAGGGTGATAAGCAATCTACTTGATAAAGAGTTCAACAATGGTCATAAATATGCTTACCAATTTTGGGAAAAGAATGGATGAACACAGTGAGAACTTAAAAAAAAGGGTAGAAAATATAAGAAAGTACAAAACATAAGTTATAACTGAACTAAAAAATAATCTAGGGGGTTCAATGGTAGAATAGATGAATTAGAGGCATGAATTAGTGAGCTATAAGACAGCAATGAAAAACAACAGCAAAATGAAAATAGAATTAAAAGATGAGATACCTTAAGGAACTTCTGGAACAGCATCAGGTGGAATAACATTTGCATTTTAAGGGCCCCATAAGGAGAAGTGGGAGAAAAAGGCTACAAAAATTATTTGAAAAAATAATGACTGAAAACTTCCCTAATTGAGAAGGAAACAGACATCCAGGTCCAGAAATCCCAGAGAGTTCTAAATAAGATGAACCCAAAGAGAAATATACCAAAACCAATCATAATTAAAATGATAAAGATAAAGAGAGAATCTAAAAAGCAGCAAGCAGAAAAAATTACATATATGGGAAACCCAATAAGGTTATCGGAAGATTTTTCAGCAGAAACTGCATAGGCCAGAAAGAAGTGGAATAGCATATTCAGAACACTGAAAGGAAAAAAAAAAAAATTAACAAGAATACTCTACCCAGCAAGGTTATCATTCAGAATTGAAAGAGAGATGAAGAGTCTTCCATGTAAGCAAAAGCTAAGGAGGAAGTTTATCACCCCTGACCTTATAAGAAATGCTGAAGGGACTTCTCTAAGCTAAAAAAGAAAGGCATCTAATAACACATGAAAATAAAAATCTCAGCAGTTAAGGTAAATAAATAATAAAGGTAGTAGATCAGCCTCTAATAAAGCAAATTATAAGGGTAAAAGACAAAATTAGTAAAGTTAGTTTAAAATACAATTATTAGTTAAGGGAACTTAAAAAATATATAAAATGTGTCATTAAAAATCTAAAACATGAGGGGTACAAGTAAAAGTATCAGACTTTTGTGTTCAAAATTAAGTTATCAGCTTAAAAGAGATTGTTAAATACATATTGTATGTGAACTTCATGATAACCACACACATAAAATAATTATAGTAAATTCAAGAAGGAAATGTAAACATAACAATAAAGAAAATAAACCACAGGAGAAGAGAGAAAGAGAATAAGTAAAGGATCATAGAGGAACTACAAAACAGCCAGAAAACAGTTAACAAAATGGCAGTAAGTACATACCTATCAATAATTGCTTTAAATATAAATGAACTAAATTCTGTAATCAGAAGACAGAGTGGCTAAATGGATTAAAAAACAAGACCCTTGTATATGCTTCCTGTAAGAGACTCGCAGTCTAAAGCTGGTGAAAGACTGAAAGTGAAGGGATAGAAAAAGACATTCCATGAAAATGAAAACAAAGCTGGAATAGTAATACTTATTCAGATAAAATAGACTTTAAAACAAAGATGGTAAGAAAAGACAAAAAAAGGGCATTACATAATGATAAAGGAATCAATGTAACAGCATTTGTAAACCCAACATAGTAACACATAAATACATAAAGCAAAACAGTAGTAAGCGGAGATCTAGGCAGTAATACAATAATAGTAGGGCCTTTAATACCTCACTTATCAATAGATAGATCATCCAAATAAAAAAATCAATAAGATAACTGTAGCCTTATCTGGATCAGATGGACCTAATAAATATATAGAGAATATTCCATTCCAAAACAGCACAATACACATTCTTTTCAAGTGCACATGGGACAGTCTCCAGAATAGATCATATGCAAGGTCACAAATTAGTCTTAATAAATTTGAGAAGATTCAAATTATATCAGGCATATTTTCTGACAAAAAATATAAAACTAGAAATCAGTTACAAGAAGAAAACTAGAAAATACACTAATATGTGAAGATTTAAAAACGTGCTACTGAACAACCCAGTGGATCAAAGAAAAAAAATCAAAAGAAAAATTTAAAAAATAGCTGGAGAAAAATAAAAATGGAAATACAATGTTCCAGAATATTTGGAATGCAGCACAGTTATAAAAGGGAAGTTTGTAGTCATACAGATACAGGCCTACATTAAAAAACAATAAAAATCTCAAACAATCTAATTTTACATTTAAGGGAATTAGAAAAAGAAGAAAAAACAAAGCCCAAAGTTTAGCTTTCTTCCTAGAAGGAAGAAAATAATAAAGATCAAGACAAAAATAAATGAAATAAAGACTAAAAAAGCAATATAAATGATCAGTGAAACTAAGAGCTGGTTCTTAGAAAAAATCAACAAAATCAACAGGCTTTTAACTAGACTCATCAGAAAAAAGAGAGAGAGCCTAACAGAGAAAATCAGAAATGATGGAAGAAAAATTACAATGGACACCACAGAAATACAAAGGATCATAAGAGAATATTATGAATGATTATACACTATCAAATTAGTCAACCCAGAAGTAATGGATAAATTCCTAGAAACATATAATCTTCAAGGCTAAATCTTGAAGAAGTAGAAAATCTGAATAGAAAATAGGCCAGTTGCTGGTGATGAAATTAAATCAATAATCAAAAAACTGCCAAACAAAGATCCAGTTCCAGATGGCTTCACAGGTGAATTTTACCAAGGATTTAAATAATTAATGTGGATCCTTATCAAATTATTCCAAGGAAATTGAAGAGGAAGGAACACTTCCAAACTTATTTGGTGAGCCCAGCATTACCCTTATATTAAAACCAGACAAAGATACTACAAAAGAGAAAATAGAGGCCAGTATCCCAATGAATGCAGATGCAAAAGTCCTCAACAAAATATCAAAATTAATTCAGCAACGTATTATAAGGATCTTACAATGTGACTAAGTGGGATTCATTCCAGGGATGCAAGGTTTGTTCAATACTTACAAACCAGTCAACGTGACACATGACATTAACAAAATGAAGGATAAAAAGTACATATATTTTTTCTCAGAATTCAAAGGAAAAACATCTTTAAAAACTCAACATTTTAAAGAATTCAATCTTAGAAATTGAAGGAAAAACATTGTTAAAAAGTCAACATCCATTTGTAATAAAAACTCTTACTGAAGTAGGTATAGAGGGAATATACCTCAACATAATAAAGACCATATATGACAAACCTATAGCTAACATAATACTCAACAATAAAAATCTAAAAGCTTTTCTTCCAAGATTAGGAACATGACAGGGATGTTTCCTCTCGCTACTTTTATTCAACATAATGTTGGAAATCCACCAAAAAAAATGTTGCAACTAATAAATTAATTCAGTAAGGTTGCAGGATACAAAATTAATATGCAGAAATGTTTGCATTTCTCTACACTAACAGCACAATATGAGAAAGAGAGATTAAGACAATTCCTTTAAAAAAAAAAAAGACAATTCCTTTTACAATTGCACCAAAGAGAGCCCAGTAGTAAACCCACATTTATATGCTCAGTTAATCCACAATAAAGGAGGCAAGAACATTCAATGGAGCAAAGACAGTCTCTTCAATAAATGGGGTGCTGGGAAAACTGGGCAGCTACATACAAAAGAATGAAATTGGACCACTTTCTTACACCATACACAACAATAAACTTGACATATGTTAAAAACTTAACTGCAAGACCTGAAACCATAAAACTAGAAGAAAACATAGACAGTAAGCTCTTTGACAGTGACCTTAACAATATTTCTTTGGATATGTCTCTTCAGGCAAGGGAAACCAAAGCAAAAATAGACAAAGGGTCCACATCAAACTAAAAAGCTTTTTTGTACAGTGAAGGAAATCATCAACAAATGAAAAGGCAAACTTGGAAATGAGATGGCCAATAAAGGGTTAATATCCACACTCTATTAAGAACTTACACAACTCAATAACAACAACAACAAAAGTGAACAACCTGATTAAAAGCTGGGCAGAGGATCTGATAGACATTTTTCCAAAGAAGACCTCCAGAAGGCCAACAGTGGCATGAAAAGACGGGCACTGAGGGGGACACTTGACGGAATGAGCACTGGGTGTTATTCTGTATGTTGGTAAATTGAACACCAATAAAAATTAATTTATTAAAAAAAATAAAAAATAAATAAATAAAACAAAAAGATGCTTCCCACCCTTCATCATCAGGGAGATGCAAATCAAAACCACAATGAGGTGCCACCTCACACCAGTCAGAATGGCTATTATCAAAAAGAACAAATGGGTATTGGCAAAGATTTGGAGAAAAAGGATCTTTCTCATGCACTGTCTATAGGAATGGAAAACAGTGTGGAAGTTCCTCAGAAAATTAAAAATAGAACTACCATATGATCTAGTAATTCTACATCTGGATGTTTCTGGGAATTTATCTGATAAAAACAGTAACACTAATCCAAAAATATATGTATGTACCCCTGTGTTCACTGCTGCATTTTTTATAATAATATCTGAAAGTAATTTAAGTGTCCACTGGTAGATGGATGAATAAAGAAAATGTGGTTTATATATACAGTGGAACATTACTCGGCAATAAAAAGAATGAAATCTTACTATTTGTGATTCCATAAGTGGACCTAGATGGTATTATGCTAAGTGACATAAGTCAAGTAGAGAAAGACAAGTCATAAATGATTTCATTTATAAATGGAATTTAAAAAAGCCAAAGAAATGAAACAAAACAAAACAGACTGATGGATACAGAGAACAACCTGGTGGTTGACAGAGGGGCATGATTGAGCCGACGGGCAAAATAGATGAAAGGGAACAAAAGGTGCAAATTTCCAGTCATAAAATAGGTCACAGTGATGTAACCTATAGCATAAGATGTATAGTCAGTAAAATTGTAGGGGTGCCTCCGTCAGTTAAGCATCTAACTCTTGATTTTGGCTCAAGTCATGATCTCAAGGTTATGAAATCGAACCCCCTGTTGGGCTCTGCACTGATCCTGAAACTTGCTGAAGTTTCTCTCTCTCCCTCTCTCTCAGTCCCGCCCCCATGCTCTCTCTTTAAAAAAATAAGATAAAATTTAGATGAAAAATGGTAATATTGTAAGGACTTTGAATGGAGACAGGTGGTCACTAGACCTATTATGGTGATCATTTCATAATGTTTAAAAATATCAAAATACTCTTGTACATCTGAAACTAATATAAATTATACACCAATTATAATTTAAGAAAAAAACAGATGTTCTAAATAAACATACACACAAACATACATGTATGTATTATTACATAATGTGTGATTTTCATGGTGATTATGATTGTATTTTGGCATATGTATCAAGATAGCTTATTAATCTTAATGTGTTTCAACCCAGAGAATGATGTCGGAATTTTTGATGATAGAATAATGAAATACCCACTGAAGAAATAAATATGTAAATCCAAAAATATAATTGGAGGGAAAAAATTGACAAGAATAGGCAAAATTAATCTTTCCAATGCTTTTACTTATGAAACACTCTTTATTCACTGTGTTTTTGCATTTAAAAATTATTTAATTGGTTTTGTGTATACTTTTTGACCAAAAGACGGAGATAATGAATTGTTCCTTTTCCTACTCTGTGATGAATGTGAGATTTTTTTCCCCTAAATCATATATGTCTTTAAATTTTCTAAAAACATTGTCATGATAGTACCTATGTAATTAATTTTCCTGTAAGTCTATAGATGCTTAGTTCAATGAGAATTCCTGTTTTTTTCAAATACACATTTTGAGTAAAATACTAATGGTAACACAAATTAGGTACTGCAGAAACTATACTGCAAGGCCATTTAGTTTATTCAGCTGTCACTTAAATGCTTATACTCTGGCAAGAAATAGTTTCTTTTCATAAAGCCAAGCTCAAAATCACAGTCCTTTGAAAACAAAGCTTGTGAAGTGAATCTCATTGGTTCACATTTTTAGTCAATATTTAAATTTGGTTGAGTATTCAATGTGATACATTTTGTGGAGGCTTTCTCCTAAGAACCCCAAAGCCTTTTTATTTTTAGAATTATTTTCCATCATGGACTTGATCATTCCACAACTCATTTTTTAGGTTCAAGGATATTATAAGCTATTTTATTTTGTCATTGACTTCATTTCTTACAACTTTTATACATATGATGTGTTAATAAAATTAGAAGTGGAACATAGATTTATTTAATTGTATGCAATACTTACTTTATTAGAATGTACAATCATAACCAAGAAAAGAGTAATTATTGTACATTTTTAATGTTTGGAAAGAAAATTAAAGCCTGCTTCATTGGGTTGTATAGAAATGTTTTACTGAAGAATACCACCTTTCTAAAATTTTAAAAATTTAAAACATAGATCTATAATGCCTATCTACTACTGCTCTTTAAAGTGGGTTTCTGTGAAGAATTTCTCAGAATTAATTTTTTGTGATACTTAAAGGCCTAAATGCATGATTAATTTTTGTTTTTATATTTAGGTGTTACTTGTAAAACTATCACCATTTTCTTCAATGGGTTTGCAGTCTTTTTGTATAAGCCTCCACCATTAGACACAGATGTATCATTTCAAAATCAGAATACAGTTGTGAGTACTGTTTCAGTAGAATGTGATCTCAACAATGCAGGAAATGAAGGATGAAATAGAAAAAGGAGACTGTTTTACAGCTGGAAAATTGGCCATCATTTCCAAGAGTGCACATTGCCATTGCAGCATTATCTACCCAATATGGACAATCATATTTTAAAAGTTGGCATTTTATAATTAAATGTGTTTTCTGTACATTTATGGACTTGTTTTGTTTTAATGTAAGAAACAGACTTGTGCCTTCAGAGCCCACCAAAAACCTCAGAATACACACACATTCATGCATGTGCATGCATGTGCACACATACACACACGTTTCCCATTGTCCAAGTATGAAATAACAAATTAATAAACTAAATTAGAAAAAAAGCCAATTATTAGTTAAAAGTTTACATTTTAAAAATAATAATTTCTATTCTTCTTGCAACTTGTTTTATTTTACTTATCATTGCCAGTAGTTTGAGCTTATTTAGAAAATATATGGTATAAAAATGTAAACTAATTAAATTTATGTGATGATTTTTGAGAACTATTACTGAAAACTCATGACTTTAAAACTAGACATTTTGTTTTTAAATTTATATGCACCTAGTCTGTCCTTTATTACAAAGGTTTACAGAACGATTAAAATATAATCATCTTCTTTGTGTCCCAATCTATAGTGAATTCAGAAATAGTGTTGTATATGCATATTTTCACTTTACTCAAGAATTCCAGGAGGTAATTTGCTGATCTTGCTTATTTTTAACTTTCTTTTAATGATTCCAAGACAGTATTATTCAATTATACGTCCTCCAGGACAAAGTACCAGATTCAGTAAAGTGCCAATTACATATGAAAAGATTTTTTTTTAATGGCTTAGGTGCATTTTATTGGTTTTCTTTGAAAGATTTCTTAATGAACTGTTGATCAGTGTTCACATACTCAGTAATTTAGTTTTTCTCATTTTAAAAATTTGCCGTCTAGTATGTTATTAATAGTATCTAAAAGAGTGCTTTGCTCATGGTAGGCATGTATTAGTGTTACGGAACTCTTTAATTGATCATTTATTTGAAAGATAAAGTATTTCTCATATTGAATAACATAACACTCCCATTTCTTTAGCTCAGATTTAAGCCAATGTTGACCCAGAATGTGGAAGAAATAGATCAGTGAACAACAACAAAAAAACAAAAAGCTTCTACTTGGTCAAGAATTTTACTGAATAAGGGAAGTGTTAAGTTCATATTTAATTTAGAGGGAAGAAAAAAAATCACCCTATATATACAAATAGTTTAATGAGCAAGTTGCTTAATAATTGGCATTCATTTCATAATTTTTTTAGTTATGAAGAGTTTCATTGTAGTCAGTGTACTCAATTTTATAAGATGATACATTTTTACAAACTTAATGAAAATAGGTAAAGTGAAAATAATTTCACCACTTGAAGGAAGTCAGACTCATACATATTTACAAAGAATACCTCCTTTCATGACAGGGCAGTGTAGACACTACTATAATTTATAAACATTATTTATACTTTTGGATCAACTAGGTTATATGTATTGATATCCTACTTTAATAAAGAACAAAATTTTTCATAGTATATTTTTTCACGATTTATATGATTTTAAAAGTAAGCGTGAATCTATAAATTGACTTGCAGTGATTTTTATACATAATTGGATATATGTCTTAAAACTTATTTTTAAGATTTAGATTTTCTTAATTGTAGGACATACAAATGTAAAATTCTTATACATGGAAAGAACTGTATACAATTGATTTAACTCTGTAAATTGAAAAATATAAGGACAATTTTAGCTCTATTGTCCTTTAGTATTTAATTTAAACAATTGTATAAAATGCATATGTGTATCTTTTTAAAAATGAGAATATTTGTACTAGATTGTTAAATGTTTAACCTTATTAAATGGCACAGATTTTCAATAGGATTTGTATCTGTTTATGAATACACACACACTTGGTGGTTGGGAAAGGGAAAATTCAGTGTACTTTTGAACTTGGTGAATGTAATTTAATTCAGTGATTTCTGGTATCTCAACATATGTGTTTAATTCAATATAAACCACCTTCACTATGAAATATATACTAAAATTGTTCCATACAATAGTTTTCATGTATGACTGAAGGATAGACAAGATTTATATGAGTAGGATACAGTTATAGATAGTTGGTTGTCAAAAATATGATACTGTGAAAGTAATGTGTTTTGGAAAGGTTATATTTAAGTCCTCGGGTTATCAAAACACTTATGACAATATTTTTAAGGAAATCAGTTTGTACATTAGAGGCAATGCCCCTTACCCCCAGTACAACATATTTTAAGCTTCTTCAGCTGTTTCTGTACCCAAAACAATAAACATTAACTTACACATTATATGTAAGTGACCAGAAATAAATAAAAGACAATCTGTTTTTAAAAACTGCATGGGTAAATTGGACCAAAACATTTCAGTGTTTTTTACTGAAATTCACAGCTTATAAAAATCATCCTCAAAGAAATGGCATATTAATTTTTTCTTTCTAGCTTTAGTTTGACTTTCTTTTTAAAACTCTATAATGATTTTAGACTTAATAAAAAGTTGTAAGAATAGTACACACAATACTTCTGTAAGCTTTACTCACTTCTCTAATGTTAACATATCAAACATCCATAGAAAAATGATCTAAACCGGCAAATTAGCATTAAAGAAATAGTTAATACCACCTCTGCAAAAGGGCATCACATTTTCTGTGATGTCAGCCTATCTTTGTTTTAATTGTTGAATTGTGTATTTTAAAATGGTGCATTTTACTAAATGTAACTTAGGCCCTGGGATAGTTGATTTGTAAAAAGAAATGGTATTAGAAACAGCATTTGAAGGCAACTGTTGCTGGGTCCTTCCAAGTCTAATGAGAATGCCCTAAGAGGATCTTGCTAGTGTTGAGGATGTTGCTAAGAAAATAGGCTGGTGTTTCCTCCCTAATTGAATGTTTTCTTAGTTCCGTCCCAACAGAATGGAGTATGTACCCCCATTACGGTGAGGGGGGAAAGGAACCAGAATTAGATTTCTGGCTTAAGCCCAGGGTCCAAAATACAGAGCGAGGACTCCTCCGAGGAATAGCTTCAATCATAACATCTGAAGATGAGAATTTCTGTGCCACAAAACGTGACATTCTAGAGCAGTGTTGGTGGGACTCTGTCCATGCATCTGCCTTCTGTCAGGTCCTGCTAGATAGTATAGTGTCAGCAACCAAGGTGGGTAGGTCAGTAATAAACCAACTCAAGGGAGCATCAATCTTTCTGGGAATTGATCAGTTAAGAAGCCAATATGAACCCACAATTGCACCCCATGATTAAGCCAGCTTTTGGAGTCCTGCTGTAATGGATGGCATGGAGGTCAGTATCAGTCAAGAAAAATATATGTAGGTCCAGGTGGTGAAGGGTTTTTACCTGTCTTCCTCTTCCTTTACTCCATGGGCACACGTGGGAGCATGAGAAATGAGACCTTTGTGATACGTAAAAATGACCACAGAGCTATGGAATTTATCCAAGAATGTTGTCAAAGGGGTAGAGCTAGTAGTTCCAACAGAATATATTTAAAGGTAGCAATGGGATAAGAATAAATAACAGGTTTTTCTTCACCTCATTTGCATTATTTTACTATTTTTGTATCCTTTTACTTATTTAGAGGAAATAAACATGATTTTACTATATTTCTTCTTCTCTAACGCTTGAACGTATTCCTTAACTTTTTGAAATCTGTTAACTAGTGCTTGGACCCAAGTGGTTGGCAATGACTAAAATGACAGTTGCCTGTGGATCTCTAAAAATCAACAATGTTCAACCCCATCCAGGACCATTGAAATTGGCTTTGTTAAAAATTTCCTAGGTTTTTCTAAAGTTAAATCAGGGCTGGAAACTGCTGATATAAACTAACACATTGAAGAAGGTGGGTGAAGGATGTGAAATCACATTTTGTTGTCAGTGATTTAGTTATGTTTCCTGATTTCCAATTTTGATCTCTTAGAGAAGGAAATTTTGGCTTGAAAACGAATAATGGGGTAATTTTGAAGGTTGAGATACTACTGGGACTTCTTCTAGAAGTATGTCTCTGGATGGAGTAAAGTGAGTTGGGGGAGTGGGGGGGGCAGAAAGCAATGGTAAGAAATTTACTTGTTCTTAAATTTTTCGTACAGCTCTTAATTTCAGATACAAAACATCGGAGAACACTCCTAGATTCTTTTCCTGCATGGGTCAGCTGTGTCAGTAATGATGTCCTGTAATACCAATGAGCCTGTAATTATTACATGGAGAGAGCCAACAGTAGTTGCGCTGAATGCACGGCATCTTGTGTTACTGTAACGTGAGAAATTCTAATAAGGAAAATAGAGCAGAATTGACATAGCTTAGTGGAGATGCTGAAGACACAGACATAAAACAAAGACATCCTGGTACATGCTCCTCAGCCACGTTCTTGAGGTCTTCTGAATGAACGTGGAAACAGCTCACCCATCTGGCTTCCCAATGATAGAATAGCTTGTCTCTTTGCTAATTGTCAGCAAAGCAGAAGCTTGTGGAAGGAAAGGAACGAATGAATTACTGTATCAAACATGTCTGCTCTTTTTTCCCCTTCTCTCTCTTTTTCTGTCTTATAAAATCATCCTGCTTCTCCATTGGTTAGATTAGATCAATCTATTGTTGGCTTTCCTTTTACATGAGTAAATGCTGTGAAGACAGTACCATATGTCTTTGACAGGCAATTTGGAAGTCTGAAAATCATAAACAGCAAAACCAGTTGGGTAATCCTGCTTGCAAAACGCTTCAGAATAAAAAAAAAAAAAAAAAAAAAAGCAAAGACCAGGTAATTCTAGTGAAAATACTGCTTTTTGCTAATCTGCTTGGTATGAGGAAATGTGCTAGATGATATTACATGTTCATGCTCATTACAATCCTACCAGTTGTTTCTTACGTGAGACGACTAAAGCCAAGGGAAATAAGTTTTCAAGGCCAGAAGGAGAGTAGTGTCAGAACTGGAACTTGAATCTGGGTGTCCGTGGCTCCAAAGCTCACGCTTATTCTTGTTCTTACTGGAATTTGCTGAGTTTAACTATATAGGTATATTTTTTAAACCCAAAACACAATTTTTGTTTATGGGAATTATACTATATCTTTCAATTCTAAAAATTATCTTTTCTGGAGTTATAGCTAATGGGTAGTAAATTCGAGGCGCACTACACAAAAATGTTAAGAAAAAGTGTTACAATTAAATTCTTTCCAGGGTTACAATTTATATTTCTACCAGCAGGTGGCGGTATTGGCTTTACTACCAACAGTGAAAGTGTTGCTTTAGGAGCCTTTTCACTTTTTTTGTTGGAGGAGGATTTCTGGCTCTTTGGTAAAAATTTCATTTGCATTTTTTTCATTATCGTTTTTCATATCCTTTGCGTAATTTTTCCAGAATTATTTTCTCATTGCAGATCATTGGAAAGATCTCCTGTTAGAAGATAAACTGGTAACTAATGAGAATCATTTGGTGGATTCAGCTTTTGCTATTTTGATGTCTTTTCTCGTTTAGAAACAGGGTGATGCATATTTCTGATTCCATGGGTTTCCTCTCTAGATATTGACCAAGAGTGGATTTTTCATATTAACCTATATTTTATTTTTAAAGAGTAAGCAGCTGTTAAAGTTACCTTTCAAAAAAGTATTGATCCTTCAAAAAGAAAAGAAATGTGAAAAAATAAATTTCAAAATTTTGACCAGGTTTCTCTTTCCATTGTTAAGCATGAATTTTTTGCATATTAAAACGATTAACCTTGTTCACTCTTATACTACAGTTTCCTCCCATCCGTCTCCCTAAGACCAAAATAGAATTAATTAAAATCTATTAAAAGGAGACCTCAACTGTATAATTCCCAAACCCATTTGCTAGTTTTCTTATGAAACTGCCTTTCTTAGAGTTTTCTTTTTAAGTCATTTGGGGCCCTGTTGTACCTGTTGTGACTAGAATTACTCTCCTCAAAAACTTAGTATCTAATTGACAAAGTAGAGCCTAAGTATATGAAAAGTTAATGAGTAAAGCAATTCAATATTTAAACAAAATGTCAAAACATTCAGCCTTCAGAGACATGTATTGATCCTTTACTTAATGCCAGGCGTTTGAGGTCCAAAAATTGGGTGACAATGAGGAGACAAAAGAGATAGGGAGACACAGAGGACACAGTGTGCGGTACTCTGTATTCTTCAGAGACTCATGGACTTTTGTAAATGAGTCTCATTTACATGTACATGTACATGTACATACAGTACATAAAAGAACTGTATTTAATCAGTTTTATTAAAATACAGTTTGATTTTATCCTCAGGCATTTTATTTTTCTTTCGTAGAGGAGCTGGCATCAAGCATAGCATTGATCATTATTATGGAAATATAGTCCCTCCCCTCCTGTCCACTTCTCAGACCAGTGCTTACAGTTAGTAAATCTACAAAGAAATATAATATGGAGGGTTCAAATTGTTTCCAGAACACACAATGGAAATGACTCAACAACTCTATCTGGGATTTTACTGCAGGAGGGTGACAGCTGTGTTAGTGGTTCAGAAAGTGATGAATTGACGTGATGTTACAAAGCAATGCTGGATCACAAACGACTTGCACAGCT